GGGGGGGAGAGCAGAGTAGAATAAACGTAAGGGTACAATCCTCCCATTGTGCCATCAGTATGAGGATTTAGTTGCACAGAAAGGTTGCATATGATTGCAATTTTTGTTTGTTCAAAAGACTTCTATTTTAGACCATCCGGCTTTGATCACATTTCAAACTAACCTACACAGACAATAACACTATCAATTATAATTAGGGCACAACAAACAAATTTAGATAATACAATAAAATATAATAGGAATACATTGCTCCCATTGTTCTCCGTCTTATTTTTTACAAATTTCCAAAAACTGGAGCGGAATGCCATGCGGACAGCACTCACCAGCCCAAATGAACCGATTGGTTTCACTGTACCGATTGTCTGTCACTGTACCCTGTACCTACCCATTTACGACCCTTACACACCCTCTATGCGCGGAGCGTGGAATTTCATGCATTATCTGACACTCGTAAGTTCGTAACTCGTAATTTACCAATTTATATCACAAGATAATAAACATTTTCAGCACTACACTTCCTTTATTTGTAACTCTAACGTGACCCATAGATAAGGGCCAGATAAGGCGAATCGCGTTCAATAACACGGGAAATAAAGGTTAGTGAAAGTCTCGGATTTGAATTAAGAAGAAAAATTACGGCCGACGTATCGAAATAATCGCCCTCCATCGGTTGATGCCAGACAGGAAAGTGTTTAATACTTTATTAAAGTGTTTACATTTCTTTAGTGTTTATACTTCTTTAATACTGCATCTGCATAGAGCACAGGCACTTGGACCGTTTCAATAATAAAATGATGGTTAATAAATACAACTTGTCAGTACTACTACTACTACTAGCCCTACCAGTACCAGTACCAGTAATAGTCTTAATGTTTGATTTGACCTAATAACTTCACTTCAACACCGTCCAATAAACCGCTGCAACACATAGCACGCACGCCCTTGTACATGCACAAATACACAGTGATAATAAGTGCGTGCGCGCTATGTGTTGCAGCGGTGTATTGGACGGTGTTGAAGTGAAGTTATTAGTATATAGGTATAGGTATATTATTTATAGGTCAAATCAAACATTAAGACTATTACTGCCATACTGGTACTGGTACTGGTAGGGCTAGTAGTAGTACTGACAAGTATTTATGTACTGACTGTATTTATTAACCATCATTTTATTATTGAAACGGTCCAAGTGCCTGTGGCATAGAGCGGCTAGTACGGTCGGTCGGTCGGTCGGCTGATATTGCGTAAGGTTACCAGGCAGTCAGTGTGTGGATGGATACCTCTATGGTCAGAGTCATACACGCAGTTTGGGTGTTCAGACAGAACGCGATACTGTACATTGAGTTGATTGGCTTTTACCTATTGAAATCTGCATTCTCGGCAGGCAACAGCTGTGACTGCATGGTTGCATGGAGATGATTGACTGGCATGCTGCGGCGGTGGGCACGCATGGCAGACACATCATGCATGTCGAGACTCGAGTCCGGAGGAAATAATTTTACATCATACACACGTGGCATGTGTCACCGTCATTTTCGTTCTAAAATTTTTTTTTATGACACTTCCCTTCTTACACCAGTCAGATCCCCACTCTCGCCCTTTGATCCTCAACCAAATATAAAAACCACTATTTCGTCTCTAAAAAGGCATTCTGTGCCATTCCGTTAAGTGGTGTAGCCATGGTGACCGGTCGGCCATTTCTGATTCGACTACATGGTGAAAATTCCCGAAAACAATCTGGCAAATGTTTCGAGTGAAGATTTCTCTTTGAATCTGCAGTGATTTAGCATTAATAAATAGCATTAATACATTATGTGTATGTCGTGTATGCGCCAAGTATTTGCAACTAACTTTTGTTCAATGCTTTAATGTCCGTAACTGTTGTACACACCACCTATATGGCGTGAACAGTGAAGGAAGAATACTCTCTATTGCATTCATTTCATGCCATTTCACTAGGATCTGAGGGTACAATTTTTGGAACGAATGATATAAAGGGCCTTTTGTATTTCCCACCTTACGAAGCCAAGGCCGTAACGCATAATGGCGTCCACATTAACCGTGTGTGCACACGGCGGCAGCTTTTGCCACCTCAGTAGTTAGCTGAGAGCTGTAAACTTATTGTAACTGATTTGTGATGACTCGAAACAAAATATTTTCGTTGTCGGAAAAGAATCGGCCGTAACCAAAAACCGGGGCGGGCGAAATGTCGGTTTTCAAATTTGATTTTCGTTGAGATGATACGGGAATGCACGCTACTGTACACATTACAATGCTATAGCATTTACACCTGTAGTTCAGTTTGATATTCGTATATGGTTTTACTGTGATCTATTAGAAATTACGTATATCACTTAGTTGCGGGGAAAGACATTGTAATGGCCAGGCGGGCAAGGCGGCATCTACTACACTAACCAATGACCGGCCTACGTGACTTTTTACGCCTGAGCAATTCAATCATTGAATCCGCTACGAGGGTAGACCGGAACCCGTCTCACAACAACAACAGACGCACGCGGCTCCGCACCATAATTTGCCATAAGTTGTCGCAGGCTTTATTACCTGCGCAGTGTCAGCACAGCGGGCTCTACACACCGTACTACGCACGTACGCTGGCGCGCGTAGTGTAGTAGCAGCGGACGGGTGGCTCCCGCGAGGTATGAGACCGGTAATCGAACTCAGACCGCATTGTTACCAGACACTAGAGGATCACCGCCCCCGCCCAAGCACGCACGCACGCAGGCTGGGCGCAGGCACACGCGTACGTACGCACGCAGGCTGGGGCGGGGCGCAGGCACACGCACGCACGCAGGCTGGGACGGGGCGCAGGCACACGCGTACGCACGCACGCAGGCTGGGGCACAGGCACACGCGTATGCACGCACGCAGGCTGGGGCGCAGGCACACACGTACGCACGCACGCACGCACGCAGGCTGGGGCACAGGCACACGCGTACGTACGCACGCACGCAGGCTGGGCCGCAGGCACACGCGTACGCACGCACGCAGGCTGGGGCACAGGCACACGCGTACGCACGCATGCAGGCTGGGGCGCAGGCACACGCGTACGCACGCACGCAGCCTGGGGCGCAGGCACACGCGTACGTACGCACGCAGGCTGGGGCACAGGCACACGCGTACGCACGCACGCAGGCTGGGGCGCAGGCACACACGTACGCACGCACGCAGGCTGGGGCGCAGGCACACGCGTACGCACGCACGCAGGCTGGAGCGCAGGCACACGCGTACGCACGCACGCACGCAGGCTGGGGCGCAGGCACACACGTACGCACGCACGGGAGTGTAGTTTACCAAGCATAGTCTGTATCGGTTGTCCTTCTCACGCCACCCTACTCGTCAAAATCATAAATCTTCATTTAATTTCATTACATACATTATTATACATAGTGACTACATATTGTGTCTGCCGAAAAATGAAGCAACGATGAATTCGGTCTGGATAGTGGCTACTATATCTATACTATACTATATCTGGCTACTAAAGCCGATTCATGAGAGGACGTGTGGAGATCCAGCTGCAGTAACCATAAATAAATCATTCATGGCGTGTACATCTGCTGAACCAGAAATAAAGATTACTGCGTAAAACCAACGATGAAACTAAACGCGGAACACGATCTTAGCTATCGACTTAAAGATAAATTCAATTGCCAATATTATATATATATATGAGTACGACTTAGTATATCACACTACAAGAGCCATAAATAGAGTAAAAATTGTGTAAACAATGACCTCACTATCCAAATAACGCAGAGCTCTATATCTGCGCATTACTTCACGGATGTACTTCTCTCTCTCTCACTTTGCAGTTTCGTAGTTCTTTCTCTCACTTTGTAGTGCATATAAACGCGTCTAAGCTGCGTGCACTCGAGTTCGGGATATTTCAGCAACCTGATTAGCAGACGAGGCGGCAGTAAAAGCAGGGTGTTTTCCCACTCGGTGTGACGTGAAGCATAGTGAAGGTTATAAATGCAGTTGGAAGGTCCCACGAATACTACCGGATAATTACCCTGTGCACTAAACTATATAGTGTGGTCGTTCGCACATCAATATACGCATTACATTCGTATTGCAATCCACTTTGAACAGCAAACCGTTATATCGTGAGCATGCCCGCCGACTGCCAATTGAGTTACTGTGTATGCACTCCTTCTGCGGATCCTTCAGCAACATTATAAGCAAAACACAAACCCGTGAGAAAGTACAGCATATTGAAGAACTGTAACCGTATTCTTGCGTTTTCAAAGTCTCATTTCTCAGCTACTTCTCTTTCTCGTTGATATTATATGAATAAACGCTTCGTGGGGGTATGCTATACCTACAATTATTTAAACAGTGTGCTATCCTACACAGTGTACACACACTATTAGTTTACTATAATTTGCTCTTGTTCATATTATATTATGTAAACGTACAGTAACACATTTAATATTTATATACACTATACAGCAGAAAGCGCAGAACTATTGCTGCTTAAGTAAGTTTATGGAAAAGTGCCGATTAATTGCAGCTCGGATGAATTAGCTACATCATGTTCTTTATACGGGATATATATAACTAAAATGCAACAAGTATACTAACTCATACCTTCATATTATGCTGAGTGATGCTGGTAATAGTCTCAAATGAATTAATATTACAATGAAGTGAACTTTTCTGTTTCCCTCATATGTACATTCGTGATACCAGACCAAGACATAATATATACCTGGCTAATTGAAGGGCGTTTACCGGGTGCATTCAAGTCACTCGCCTAGGGAATCTATGTAGTTAGTTTGCATTGGTTAAGGGTTACAGCTAGCCCAAAAGCTATTTAAGCCTTTTAATATTTGATATGTCGATTAAAGACCTTCAATATTTGATGGAAGTTTGCATCTCTGTAACAATCATATCGGGTTTACATGTGCCCGTGTATTTCGCTATGCCTCCAGAGCCGTCCCAACAATGGAAAGAAATTTGCTGTCATTATTTGCTATAAAATCATTTTACTTTTTCCATAGACAGTGCTGAACCCAATGACTGATGTACTCGCACATACTGATGAACCCAGAGAAACGTTGCAACCTTAGGAGCTGCGAATACTTTCCACAATGAGAGCTTTGTTGTTTAAAACCAAATTTAAACTCAATCTACTGCCTACCTCTCCTCACAAATGAAGTTGCTATGAGTTTATGAGTCACACTCATGCCATGGTCAAGAGAACAACACCACATCACCGGCATAAAAAGATTATTGCGGATAGGTTTTAATATTTTTCTTAATCTTCCACAATTCTATGTTCAGTACTTGTTCAGAAACGACGCAACTACATTAAGACCTATAAAATACCCATAATAGCTTCCAGGTTTACTGAATGTGTAATCAATGGGGTTAACGTGATAAAAACATACATTTTGAAACCCAGATGTCCTTTTTAATGCATTCTACACACCCTTAGGTTGTGTACAATCTTATGGAATAACTTAAACTATATCGAGTAGAATATCCAGAACGTTGATTCTTGGTCTTGGTGAGGCTTCGGGCTTCAGATATCACCTACCATGGTGTGTTAATATTAAAACTTAGCAACATTGTCAAAACAAACTTAACAGCGTGTATGCACCATAGTGCCACTCAGTGTATAAGCATACAGGAGATGGTCTTTTCCTTGCTGGATACGTACACAAAGTCATGGCAATGCATGAAAGTGGAATTCCCCCTACATCTACCAATGTATCTACTATCTAATCAAAGTAGTGTTCTCTGCAAGCAAATTGCACATGAAATTTTGTGTGTGAGATAGACCCAACACAAAAGCTGCCTTGTTAAAACCTTGGATTCGCATGTTGACATCCTGAAAAGTGTGGCATACTCAGGTGCTGAGTAATATTTACACAGCGATTCCCGATCTAGTGAATTAACTTCTCTGTGTATATGTCTGTATGTCATTAGGGCATGCAAAATAGTGCATGAATAAATCAAACTTTGTATCATTGAGGCAATGCCTATGAAGGAAAGTAAGTTTGAATAAGATATTATTATTTTCTAGATACTACTTAACAAAGAAATTTAAAAAACACTTTACTTCATTATTTGACAAAGCAATTGGAAGGTATTATCATAGATTAGTGTTCACTAATCTGAACCCTGGTGATGTTGTTGCGTTGTCATCTACACACGATCAAGAAAGTTTTGAAGGAAAGAACATGGTGGTTTGTTTACAATTTGCAAACTATATTCATCAAGGCTTGTTTGTACAAAACGTGGCAATTTTGGGACATAATTATGTGGCAACCAAGAAATAGTAGTGTTTATGAGCACTTACATAGGAGGAATGTTGTTTTAAGATTTGACTCGCGAGAACTAAACTACACCTATACCTTTGCTTTAGTGTCATACCAAAAATACCGGCTTCCAGTTATAACTGCCTACAAAGTGTTGAAGTTGGTCACACAGTCAGCCTCGCCAGCCCAGTTTTTTTTCGCAATAACTGTATGCAATGAGTAACAATTCGTGATTTTGACAAACGTATAATATATGAAATCACAAACGGTATAGTTTACCTGAGAGCCATCGCTTGAGTAGAGATATTGTAAACTGTCAAATAACCATGTCTCGACTTCGAGTCGCTTCCGAATGAGAGCCATCTGATGCTGTCCGTACTTGGCTGTCAGATACTTCTTCTTCCTCTCCACCACGTCATCTTTGTTGTTAAACTTTACGTGCATGTTATCTTTGGTGTCACGGCCAGGTGACCGCTTTTCCATAATTTGCCTGGCTATCTGATTGAGGCAAGACGAAACATAAACTACTAATGTTATGAATTTTCTTCACACAGCCAAATTCGCCGCTGTTCACCTCATACTCATCATGGCGCTATTGATGATAAATATGTCACTGATTGGTTTGTATAGAATACAATTGTGCGGCCATGTTTGATCATTCTAATAAGCGTAACACACACGCACACACACACACACACACACACACACACACACAC